CAATACTATTGGGGCGACCAGTTAGCTCGGTTGGTTAGAGAGCAGGCTCATAGCACCAACATTGCTGGTTCAATCCCCACATGGGCCACTGAGCTGCGCCCTCCACAACTAGATTGAAACAACTACATGACTTGGAGCTGATGGGTCCTGGAAAAACACACTGTTCCCCAATAAAAATAAATTAAGTAATTAAAAAACACAATACTATTTATGATCACTCCAAAGAAAATGAAACACAGTGTACACTTAACAAAATATGTACAGGATCTGTATGCTGAAAATTTCAAAATGCCGATGAAAGAAGTCAAAGAAGATCTAAATAAATGGACAGACACACATATCATGTTCATGGATGGGAAGACTCAATATAGTAAAGATGTCAATTTTCCCCAAATTGATACACAATTCCTATAAAAATCCAAGCAAGGTTTCTCTAGATATAGATCAGCTCATTCCAAACTTTATATGGAAAGGCAAATGACCCTGAATAGCTAAAACGATTTTGAAGAACAATGAAGTGGGAGGAATCACTCTACCCCATGTTAAGGCTTACTCTATAGCTATAGTAGTCAAGACTGGTTTGTTTGGTATTCACAGGACAGACACATAGAACAATAGAACAAAACAGGGAACCTAGAAATAGCGCCATGCAAACAGACCAACAGAAATATGCCCAACTGATTTTGACAAAGATGCAAAAGCAATCAATGGAAGAAAGATAGTCATTTTAACAAACTGTGTTTAAGCCATCAGACATCCATAGGAAAAAATATAGACCTTGACCTTAAGTTCATATTTTATACAAAAATTAATTCAAAACAAATCATGGACTTAAATGTAAAACATAAAACTATAACACTTTTAAAAGGAAATACAAGAGAAAATTTGTGGGACCTGGGGCTAGGTGATACCAAAAAGACAATATATAAATGCAGACATTGATAAGCTGGAGTTCTTCAAAATTAACATTTTTTGCCTGCAAAATCTCTTTAGAAGATGAAAAGACCAGCTACAAACTTGGAAAAATATTCGCAGACCTTGTATCTGACAGAGAACTTGTATCTAGAATA